GAAAAGAATCATATGATCCTGCCAATCGATGCAGAAAAAGCATCTGACAAAATTCAGATTCCTTTCTTAATAAAACCCCTTGAGAGAGTCGGGATAGAAGGAACATACGTCAACATCATAAAAGCCATTTATGAAAAGCCCACAGCTAATATCATCCTCAATGGGGAAAAACTGAGAGGTTTCCTCCTGAGATCAGGAACACGACAGGGATGTCCACTCTCACCGCTGTTGTTTAACATAGTGTTGGAAGTCCTAGCATCAGCAATCAGAACACAAAAGGAAATCAAAGGCATCAAAATTGGCAAAGATGAAGTCAAACTTTCACTTTTTGCAGACGACATGATATTAAACATGAAAAACCCGATAGACTCCACCCAAAGTCTGCTAGAACGGATACATGAATTCAGCAAAGTCGCAGGATACAAAATCAATGTACAGAAATCAGTTGCATTCTTACACACTAGTAATGAAGCAACAGAAAGACAAATAAAGAAGCTGATCCCATTCACAATTGCACCAAGAAGCATAAAATACCTAGGAATAAACCTAACCAAAGATGTGAAAGATCTGTATGCTGAAAACTGTAGAAAGTTTATGAAGGAAATTGAAGAAGGTATAAAGAAATGGAAAAGCATTCCGTGCTCACAGATTGGAAGAATAAATATTGTTAAAATGTCAATACTACCCAAAGCTATCTGCACATTCAATGAAATCCCAATCAAAATTGCACCAGCATTCTTCTCGAGGCTAGAACAAGCAATCCTAACATTTGTATGGAACCACAAAAGACCCCGAATAGCCAAAGTAATATTGAGGAAGAAGACCAAAGTGGGAGGCATCACAATCCCAGACTGTAGTCTCTACTACAAAGTTGTAATCATCAAGACAGCATCATATTGGCACAAAAACAGACACATAGACCAATGGGATAGAATAGAGACTCCAGAATTGGACCTACAAAAGTATGGCCAAGTTATCTTTGACAAAGCAGGAAAGAATATCCGATGGAAAAAAGAGTGTCTTTTTAACAAATGGTGCTGGGAGAACTGGACTGCAACATGCAGAAGAATGAAACTAGACCACTTTCTTACACCATTCACAAAAATAAACTCAAAACGCATAAAGGGACCTGAATGTGAGACAGGAAACCATCAAAACCCTAGAGGAGAAAGCAGGAACAAACCTCTCTGACTGTAGCCACAGCAATTTCTTACTTGACACATCTCCAAAGGCAAGGGAATTAAAAGCAAAAATGAACTATGGGGACCTCACAAAGATAAAAAGCTTCTGCACTGCAAAGGAAACAATCAACAAAACTAAAAGGCAACCAACGGAATGGGAAAATACATTTGCAAATGACATATCGGACAAAGGGCTAGTATCCAAAATCTATGAAGAGCTCACCAAACTCCACACCCGAAAGACAAATAATCCAGTGAAGAAATGGGCAGAAAACATGAATAGACACTTCTCTAAAGAAGACATCCAGATGGCCAACAGGCACATGAAAAGATGCTCAACATCACTCCTCATCAGGGAAACACAAATCAAAACCACACTGAGATACCACCTCACGCCAGTCAGAGTGGCTAAAATGAACAAATCAGGAGACTACAGATGCTGGCGAGGATGTGGAGAAAAGGGCACCCTCTTGCACTGTTGGTGGGAATGCAAACTGGTGCAGCCGCTCTGGAAAACAGTGTGGAGGTTCCTCAAAAAATTAAAAATAGATTTACCATATGACCCAGCAATAGCACTGCTAGGAATTTTCCCTAGGGATACAGGAGTGCTGATGCATAGGGGCACTTGTAACCCAATGTTTATAGCAGCACTTTCTCAACAATAGCCAAATTCTTAAAAGAGCCTAAATGTCCATCATCCGGTGAATAGATAAATAAGTTAGGTTTATATATACAATGGAATACTGCTTGGCAATGAGAAAGAATGAAATATGGCCTTTTGTAGCAACGTGAATGGAACTAGAGAGTGTTATGCTAAGTGAAAAAAGTCATACAGAGAAAGACAGATACCATATGTTTTCACTCTTATGTGGATCCTGAGAAACTTAACAGAAGACCATGGGGGAGGGGAGGGGAAAAAAAGGTTAGAGAGGGAGGGAGCCAAACCATAAGAGACTCTTACAAACTGAGAATAAACTGAGGGTTGATGGGGGTTAGGAGGGAGGGGAAAGTGGGAGATAGGTACTGAGGAGGGCACCTGTTGGGATGAGCACTAGGTGTTGTATGGAAACCAATTTTACAATAAATATCATACTAAAAATAATAATCATAAAATTTTCATAAATGTTAAATCCACTGTTTTATTGAAAGGAAAGTAGAACCAAGGTTAAAATATACTTGATGCTTTTAAAAGTCATAATAAAATGTGGAATATCTATCTCTGTATCTGTGTTCTGAGATGGCGCTACACCAATGGTGTATACATAGAGACACATATGTAATGAGTAAATCAAGGTTCAAGACCCTGCCCAACCAAATTACTGCGTTCTGATATTTCCTTTGCACCTCACTTTCTCCCACTCCTATGCAAATACCAATGACAACAAAACTGAATTTTAAAATAGAAGAGAAGGTAATAAAGCTTGTAGAAGATAATAAATACAATGAATATTTAGCTTAGGGAAAGATTTTAAAACAATATTCACAAATTGCAAATCTTGACGAAAATTCCATAGTAAAATACAACACTTTTGGACAATAAGAGATATCATAAAGTAAAACACACACACAAACACGCATGCACACACACACCCCAAAACAAATCATAGCCTAGGAAAGGATATTTTCAAAGGAATCTAGAATAAAGAATTGCTATAAATCAGTCAAGAGACAAACAACCCAAAAGGCAAAAAAAAGAATATGAAAGTCTAAATGAATAATAAACAGAAAACTCATTAGTCATTAGAGAAATTAAGTAAGGCCACAAGGAGATATCGTGGCATAGGCATTGAATTGGCAAAAAATAAATAAACAAAACAGCTGCTAATCCAAGCTTTTGCATGGTAGGTTAGGTTCACACACTGATGGCAGGAGTGAACAGGTAGGCTAAAAGGTAAAGAATTCTGTTTATCTTGTATACCTTTAGGTGGGGAAAATATCTCCCCCGTTACCTACAATATATACATGCTTTCAGGTAGGCTTGGGATTTGAAATATGCTGTCAGGGTAGTCTATCAAAACACAAGCAAGACATTAAATTAAAGTGCTCCTAGATTCATCATGCATTGAGGTGCCTAAAGGAAGCAAAAATGAAATCTGGGGAAATGTATCCTTAATACAGGTCTTACAAGATTCCCACAGATAAACATTTTCAAACATGAGCTTAAAATCCAAAATTACAAAACATATGAAGAAACAAATCACCACGAATGAGGATTGGTAAAAATAATAAATTGCATATTTATACCTCTGAAGAATATCAGAAAAAGGAATGTTGGGGTTATATAACAAAATAAGTGTGCTTAAAATATTAAAGTAATAAAAGATGGAATAAAAAACATGAGAAAGGAACATAATTCTCTCCAAAAAAGATCAGGCAAAATTTGAAATTAAAAAAAAGAGAATATCTAGAATTGAATAAAATAGTCACTGAAAATTTAAAACTCAGTGGTCATGTTAAATAGCAGATTATGTACGGCTGAAGAGAGAATTGATTAACAGGTATAGATATCTGAAAAAAATTCCCAGAATGCAGCACAGAGAGATAAAGAAATGGAAAATATGAAAGCGAAGTTAAGAAAGGTATAGAATGAAAAGGCCCTATTTACTGTCTAACAGGAGCTCCAGAAAAAATAACAAGGGAGAAATAATATTCAAAGAGATAAATGTCTGAACATAATATTTGTTTCTATTTTTTTAATAGAGGAGAAAAAAAGGAATATATGCAGGCAGTTATTCTTACCCTCTGAAGGCACTCTGCCATCTCTAGATGTTTCCTCCACAATATACCTGCCCCATTGCTACCAGATTACTTTAGCCCTTGCTCTTACAACTTCACTAGCACTCTACTGCTTGAAAGGTAAAGTCCAAACTCCTTAGTCCAATATTGAAGACTCCCCAAAATTCTACCCCAATATACCTTCTCCAAAAAGCTCACTTTAAGGAAATTCATGCTCTGACTTAATGGCCTACAAATTAAATTCCAGAAAGGCCACTGCATCTCCCACGTTTCTTTGCTTAAGCCATTCTTTCTCTCTCGAATGCTTGATGTCCTGTTTACTCCTTAAAGTCCTACCCAGGTTTTAAGGTCTAATGTAAACCCCTATATCCTTTAGGAAGGCTAGACATCATCTCTTCAGAATGCGGTAATTCTTATTGTCTCTAATCTCCTCTGGCACTTAACACAAGCCACCCCAGCAGAAGTTACCGTTTTAGAGGTAGAGGGCTACATACCTCTCAAGCAGGAACCTGTTAGTTTACAAATGCTTAGCATCCCCAACTGCTCCCAGCAGTGCCTTGTATACCATTAACAACTATTAACGATGACCAGACTTTAGTTTGAAATTGTTAATGGAATCTCCCCACCGGTAGATACTGATAGGTTCTCCACTAAGGCTACTATTAGTCAAGCCCCCACATTTCCAGCACACAGGTTTAGGGCCTCTAGCCCTAATATATTGAGGGAAGAAGGATGACTTCAATACAAAAGATTGTTTTCTACCTGTAAAGTCGACAACAATTTAAGTAATAATACGCGAAATCTGAATTTGAATGCAGTAAGAGTGCTACGGGAGTGTGCTTTAGGTAAAAATCTAAAAGTAAGTGGTCCTTCCCTGACCTCCGGTGGCGTCCTTCCTCAGACTCTACCTGCCGAAGTCCAAGCCGAAAACAGCCACCCCCGCACCTGGAATTCCGGACGCCCCAGCGTGGCAAGCTGAGAAGGCGGGCTAAACTCTTTGATTGGCTATCAGGAGCCGCCTGCCCTGAGGATTGGTCGCTGCCGCAAGGGACGCCGGGACTGGCACGTGGTACCCGTCCTCGGATCCCGAAGGAGGCCGCCATGGCGGCAGTACCTTCGACGGCTTGTTTCAGCCTGTCTGCCTATCGGCAGATGGAGAGGAAGAGTCGGCCGTGGGGCGCTGCCGAGGTTCAGTGCACTCAGTGTGGAAGAAGGGAGTCCAGAGTTTCTGGTGAGGAGACCCCCATGGGGCCCAGCCTCGCCTTGGCCATCTGCCCTCCATAGGCTCTGTCCCAGTCAGGCTGCTGGGCCTGGAGACGGAGAGCAAGGCCTGTCCCGAGGGCTGGGAGCCGAGTGGGCTGGCAGTGTGGGGCGCTGCTCAGTTACAGCAAGGTGGACCTGGAGAACTGTGTCACAGGCCTCCCTGCGTGTCTGCAGCCCACCCTCGGGGCAGCAGAGACGTCCCCTGTGGTCAGGGTGGCTCCGTACCTCTCCGAAGCTTTCTCCACTTGGCACCTGCTTCTCCCTTTTTCACTGATTCTATTAGGGAATGGTGTGTGAGCTCTCTTGAGCGTTAGTTCAAAAACTCCCCCGGGTTCACAGATTCATGAAAGGGTAGATGTAAAAATTTAGCCCATTGTCTTGTGATCAAGAAGTAACGAAATTTGATTTGCTTGTGTAGATTTTGTTGCAGGAGGAGTAACGAGTAGACCACTTTAAAACGTTCCAGGATTAGAAAACAGATATTTGGCATTGGGAGGGAAGCGTTATCGCTGTTTGGCTTAAGGCATTGTTTGGGAAACAATTCACTCTTTTTGTGCATCTTGTGTTTTTTCTTTGTACATCAAGGGGGGAAATCCACTGCACTCCTATGGATTTAGAATCTGCTCCAGTGAACACACTTTCAGGTTACTTTAATGTAATTTAAAATGCCTTAGAGTGCTGTCTCTGGCAGGAGTTGTTGAATTTCAAACTGCAGTTGCTGAAAAGTCTTATTACCACTCCAGTGACTACTTAACATTTATACTTTCATAGTGAAAATCGTTCATTTTCTCAGTCCCTCCGAGATGGACTCCATTTGAGAGATGTGAGTGAACCTTTGTAGAAAAAGTTGGTTAGTTGTGTTTTAAGGTGGGGAGCCAAGTTTCTCCTACTCTTTTTATCACAGCTGTCGCATAGAAAATCTCCATTGTTTGAATCAAATAAGCATTACCAGATAAAGTTTACGAACATGACCTTTTAAAATCACTCATGCTTCCATATGTTTGTATTACAATGCTCAGAAATACTAGGTGGTATTTAGGCATATAAAATTGTGGAAGTGCTTTGTAAGCTATGATGTATCACAGATTAGACTGGTACAATATCAGAAATTGTATAAGGATAGAACAGTTAAACAATTTTGATTTATTTGGAAATATTATCTCTGAAATTTAAATAGAGCTGTAAAATTTAGCTTGGTCATAAGCAAGTTTCAGATATTTTGCTTGGCTTGCAAACTAAAGCTTTTTTAATCAAAAGAATGTAATTCTTATAAATCAGCAAGAACACTGTCTTTTGGCAATAAAATATAACTGATTTTATCTAGTGCTTTTCCTTTTTTTCTTACAAAGTGTTTTAAAATGACAACTTTTTGAAGTTACATAGCTAAAACAAATATGTTTACTATGATAAGCTTTAAATTCTATTGACAGCATTAAAATCTTGATATTAGGCTTTCACTCAGGATTATGGTGTTTCCCCTCATAAATGCTAGGTTTGTGAAATTATCTTTATGTGGATCATGTATGTGTGACAGTAGTAGCATCTGGCTTCTGTCAAGTATCTTAGGTCATTGTAAGAGAGAGGTCTTGCCAGTGTCTCATATCTGCCCTCCCTGTTCCCTTCACAGGATTGGAAATATAAATTAGAGGCAATGGGAACAAATAGAGTATTGGACTTGGACACAGAACTAGGCTGGAGTCTAGATTATACCATTTAGCCACATCACCAAAAGGTTTATCCATTTCTAAGTTGAATGTAACCTTCCTAAGCCTACTTGGCTGTGATATGTACAAGGATCAAATGAAGTATGTCAGAACATTTTGTATGATTATAAGATACGGCAAATTCGAAGTAGTATCGGTATCAGAAACTAAATTAATGCAAACAATATTACATAGCCCTGCTTGGCTTTCAATTTGACTTTTTCCCTCCTTCAGACTTAATAGCTTCTACTGAATTTTGTTTAACAGGTCCTGCATTTCTAATGAAACTTGATATCTCTTCCCATGTAAGAGTCCCCTCTTTTAACTTCTCCCTCTGATTAATGCTGCACATTCAATGCTAACAAACTATAGACAGTTTAATTCACAGCAGAATTTCATTTCATAGGTCACCACCATGAACTTCAATGTGGACATGCTTTTTGTGAACTGTGCTTGTTAATAACTGAAGAACACAACACAATTATATGTCCTGATTGTGAGGTAAGTTTTATCATCTTTCATAGTCAGTATATAATAACCTACTGTTGAAGGTAAAAATGTTAGAGAAAACATACTTCTAGTTAGAACCTGAAATTTTGAATTTTTGCTGCTGAGTCTTAAAGCAGCTTAACAAAAGATAAAGCTTTTTTTGATTCATTTTATAATTGCTACGAATATTCAAGAAAATACAAAGTTAAAGTTCTACATTAATCAGCCTGAATATTTTGACTCTTTTTAAAAATAAGTTTTTAAATTTTAGAGCAAGTGTGCAAGCAGGGGAGAGGGACAGAGGGAGGGAGAGGGAGAGAGAGAGAATATCTTAAGTAGACTTCACACACAGTATGGAGCCCAATACAGGCTCATTCCCATGATCCTGGGATCATGACCTGAGCTGAAATCAAGGGTCAGATGCTTAACTGACTGAGCTACCCAGGCACCCCTTTGGAGACTTCTGTGGAAAATTGCCTCTTTTTAATTATTTTCATTTATTTTTTTACATTATTTTTTTTTAATTTTTTTTTCAACGTTTTTATTTATTTTTGGGACAGAGAGAGACAGAGCATGAACAGGGGAGGGGCAGAGAGAGAGGGAGACACAGAATCGGAAACAGGCTCCAGGCTCCGAGCCATCAGCCCAGAGCCTGACGCGGGGCTCGAACTCAGGGACCGCGAGATCGTGACCTGGCTGAAGTCGGACGCTTAACCGACTGCGCCACCCAGGCGCCCCAATTTTTTTACATTATTTTTAATGTCTATTCATTTTTGAGACAGAGAGAGACAGAGCATGATTGGAGGAGGGGCAGAGAGAGAGGGAGACACAGAATCCAAAGCAGGCTCCAGGCTCCGAGCTCAGAGATATTAGCACAGAGCTCAGTGTGGGGGCTTGAACCCACGAACTGTGAGATCATGACCTGAGCCGAAGTCAGACGCTTAACCAACTAAGCCACTCAGGCACCCGTATTTTTATTTATTTTTTACGTTTATCCTAATTTTTACTGTTTCCAATGATCATTTTTGTTTATTTTTTCAAATTTTTATTTAACTTTTAGTTAACATACAGTTAATATTGGTTTCAGGAGTAGAATCCAGTGATTCATCAATTACATACAACACCCAGTGCTCATCATAACAAGTGCCCTCCCTAATACCCATCCTTCATCTGGCCCTTCCCCCACCCACCTCTCTCCATCAACCATCAGTTCTCTAAGAGTCTCTCATGGTTTGTTTCTCTCTCTTTTCCCCCATCCCATATGTTCACCTGTTCTGTTTCTTAAGTTCCACATATGAGTGAAATCATGTGGTATTTATCTTCTCTGATTAACTTATTTCACTTAGCATCATGCATGTAGCTCAGTCTGTGTCATTGCATATGGCAAGATTTCATTCTTTTTGATGACTGAGTGATATTCCATAAGAATGTCTTTTAACACACACGCACGCACACCATTCATCTTTATCCATTCATCAGTTAATGGACATTTGGGCTCTCTCCATAGCTTGGCTAATGTTAATCATGATGCTGTAAACATAGGGGTGCGTGTCCCCCTTCAAATCTGTATTTTTGTGTCCTTTGGGTAAATACCTAGTAGTACAATTTTTGGATCTTAGGGTAGTTCTCTTTTTAACTTTTTGAGGAACCTCTATACTGTTCTCCAGAGTGACTGTACCCGTTTGCAGTCACACCAACAGTCCAAGAGTGTTCCCCTTTCTCTGCATCCTCGCCAACACTTGTTGTTTCTTGTGTTGTTAATTTTACCCATTCTGACAGGTGTGTGGTGGTATCTCATTGTGGTTTTGATCTATATTTCCCTGATGATGAGTGATGTTGAACATCTCTTCATGTGTCTGTTAGCCATCTGGATGTCTTTTTTGGAAGTGTCTATTCATGTCTTCTGCCCATTTCTTAGCTGGATTGTATGTTTTTTGGATGTTGCGTTTGGCAAGTTCTTTACCGATTTTGGATACTAACCTTTTATCAGATATGTCATTTGCAAATATCTTCTATTCTGTAGGCTGCCTTTTAGTTTTGTATATTGTTTCCTTCACTGTGCAAAAGCTTTTTATTTTGATGAAGTCCCAATAGTTTATTTTTGCTTTTGTTTCCCTCGTCTCTGGCGACGTATCTGGTAAGAAGTTGCTGTGGCCAAGGTCAAAGAGGTTACTGCCTGTGTTGTCCTCTAGGATTTTGATGGTTTCCTGTCTCACATTTAGGTCTTTCATCCATCTTGAATTTATTTTTGTATATGGTCTTTTTACTTATTTTTAGTGACATATATTCCTTTCAAGTCTCTACCTTTCTTTACCACGCCAATAGCATGCAAGGAAATTTTGAACTCTCCCTGACCCTGAAACTTTGTGTGTTATCGAATTTATATTTGTAGGGATGCCATAGTTTAAAAAGAGAAACAAAACAGTAGCCTGAAGTTAACTTCATAGGCACTAAAAAAGTACAGTTGCACTAGGATTAAAATCTATAGACCCATAATAAAGTAAAATTTAATGAACATCCTTTCATTTGCTACAAATACAAATGTAGTTCAATTTATATAGTATGTCCCTGGAAAATTGTCTTTTTAATCTGTAAATTCTTTTTCTTTTTTTTAGGTTTACTTATTTTGAGAAGGAAAGCATGGGAGTGGGGTGCAGAGAGAGAGAGGGAGAGAGAGAATCTCAAGCAGGTTCTACAAGGTCAGAGTGGTCATGATGCAGGGCTTGAACTCGTGAATCTTGAAATCATGACCTGAGCCAAAGTCAGACACTTAATCAACTGAGCCACCCAGGCACCCTTTAATCTCTAAATTCTTAATGTTCCACTTGAGATATCAGATGATGAGGATTTGTAGCCATTGTTTTCTGTCAGTGAGACAAACAAGATAGAAGCTGAAGATCTGGAATGCAGTCATAGTTCTGTCACACAAAGCCTGAGTTTCCTCATTCATGAGATGGAAATAATACCTACTTTTCTTATAGGATTGTAAGTCAAATTTGAGTTATGTAAAAGTTCTCTACAAGCTTCAAGACCATTGAAATAAGTGTTATAATCAACCCATGATCATTTAGGTGTGGATTAATTGGTTTGTAGGTTAAACATGGTAAAAAAAAAAAATACATACATACATACATGTAAATTTGTGAAGGTTTGAATTATAATGGAACATTTACATATTAAAAGATGTCTATTTTGGAATTACATACTTTACAAATTATGGCCTTCATTGTGGGAAATTCCTTTCTCCTGTCCTTTTTTTGACATTGGGTTCCTCAGATGTGGCTTCACTACATAGTTAAAGGGGAGCCTAGTTCCTGTGGTTGTAATGGAAGATCCCTGACAGATTCAGTCTTGTGGTGGGAAAGGGAATAAACAGGCAGCTGGAACTGTCTCTGCTTATATCCATCCTGTTATAATACTCAAAAAAACAGAGACATTTATTAGAACAGTAACCTTTCCCTTTTTTGGCAAATGACTTCGTGCTTAGTGTCTTAAATCATTATACTTGTATTATTTTGAATAACATTTACATGAATGTTTATGGTACATTTACAAATGCTAGTTTTGATTTTATAGTTATGATAAATCTATTTTGTATCATTTTAACTAGTTCTGACTCTTACTTCAGGAGATCTGTTTCATCCTTCCCCTTTCTCCTCTTGTGCTTTTAGCCCAGGGAATTGACAAGGAACTATAATCAGATTCTTCACATGCACTAAAGCTGATCCTTATTTAAGGGAGTCCCTTCAAGAAACCTTCCTGAAATCGTTACCACTCTTTTTTAATTTTTGAGAGAGAGAAAAAATGAGCAGAGGAGGGTAGAAAGAGAGGGAGACACAGAATCCAAAGCAGGCTCCAGGCTCCAAGCTGTCAGCACAGAGCTGGACACAGGGCTCAAACTCACAAACTGTGAGATCATGACCTGAGCCAAAGTCGGACGCTTAACTGACTGAGCCATCCAGGTGCCCTGTTACCACTCTTTTATTAGTTTTTAAAATGTAGATTTTTGCTTATATCTAATATTTTTTTTGAATAGGAGAATGAACTAATTTAAATTAGTAAAAAGACTGAATTTATAGACTATTTGAGTAATGTAGTTTATTATTTTTATATTACATGCTCTTTTCTAAAAAGTAAGATTTAAATACTTATGTTCACATTAAGTTTATGTTTATGATTTATCTTTAATGTTGAAGGCCTAGGTATTTAAGCCTAAAATGATTCTATTCCGGATTAATAGATATACTTATGTTCTTATTTCTGAGTTTGGGTAAACATGAATTTATCTACCGGTATTTTTTTTTTTTTTTTTAAGAGAGAAGGAGTGGGGGAGAGGGGCAGAGGGAGAGAGAATCTTAAGCAAACTCCACACTGAGCCCCAATGTGGGGCTCAGTCCCATGACCCTGGGATCATGACCTGAGCCAAAATCAAGAGTTGGACACTCAACTGACTGAGCCACCCAGGCACCCCTATCCACCAGTCTTTATCTTTCATAGTTGTATGGTTTTTGATAACATTGGTTCTTTGCTTTTGATTGATATTAATGGTTACTTCATAAGCATTCTACATTTTGCACAGCAAGATGGCAGATTTTGTTCATAAGATCATACTTAGGTATCATTCCAGAAATACTGACATTGTATTGATCTATTGGACCAAAGTCCAAAAATATACCGTGTGAGAAGGGAAAGATAAGTTTTCTAATCAATAGATAATTACTATCTATTACCAGTCCCATGTGGATTAGAAATGTTAACATGCAAATTAAACATTTAAACTAAAAGAAAGTACAGATAATTGCATAATCTTGGATGGGGAAGCCTTGTTAAAACCTATCACTGAAAGCAGAAACCATAAAAGAAATACTGGCTAAATTTGACTGCATTGTTTCATTTACAGGTAGCAAAAACAAGCGAAAAACTCACCACAAATAGCAAACTGAGGGTTGCTGGAGGGGAGGTGGATAGGGGGATGGTTTAAATGGGTGATGGGTGAGAATTCTACACCTGAGGCCAATATTAACACTGTTTTAACTAACTGGAATCTAAAAACTTGAAACTAAAAACAAAAACCAGTGATAATTACATAATTTTTATTATTTTTTTTATTATTTTTTTTGATGTTTATTTATTTTTGAGACAGAGAGAGACAGCATGAACGGGGGAGGGTCAGAGACAGAGAGGGAGACACAGAATCTGAAACAGGCTCCAGGTTCTGAGCTGTCAGCCCAGAGCCCGATGCGGGGCTTGAACTCACGAACCGGGAGATCATGACCTGAGCCGAAGTCGGACGCTTAACCCACTGAGCCACCCAGGCGCCCCTCTAATTACATAATTTTTTTTTTTTTAACGTTTATTTATTTTTTTGGGACAGAGAGAGACAGAGCATGAACGGGGGAGGGGCAGAGAGAGAGGGAGACGCAGAATCGGAAACAGGCTCCAGGCTCTGAGCCATCAGCCCAGAGCCCGACGCGGGGCTCGAACTCGCGGACCGCGAGATCGTGACCTGGCTGAAGTCGGACGCTTAACCGACTGCGCCACCCAGGCGCCCCGTACATAATTTTTTTAAAAATGACAAGCTGTGAGGGTCGGGGAGGGAACCTGTTTTATATATTACAAGTTAAGAATCTGTATACAATTTTAACTGAAGTCTTTTAGGTCAGTTGTATTTAATATTTTCTTAAATTTTCTGGAAGAGGTGTCCTCTCAAATCTGTTGATAGTAACATTAATCTCTTAACTGTGAAATGCTAAACCAAAGGGGGATAAGTGAATAGGCATATAGAAATTAAGGTTTTAGCTGCCAGTTTGGGGGTGGGATATTCTCAAAAAATAACTTTCAGTCCAATGTGTTGTGTTAATAGTAACACTTTTTCAGGATGCCTGGGTGGCTCAGTTGGTTCAGTGTCCAGTTCTTGATTTTGGCTTAGGTCATGATTTCACAGTTCATGAGATGGAGCCCCAAGCTGATAGCAAAGAGCCTGCTTGGGATATTTCTCTCTCTCTCTCTCTCTCTCTCTCTCTCTCTCTCTCTCTTTCTCTTTCTTTCTCTCTCTTTCTCTCCTCCTCTCTCCCTCTCCCTCCCTCCCCCCTGCCCTGCCCCCTGCACATGAATGTGCTCTCTTACTCTCTCAAAAAGCATTAAAAAAAGTAACATTTGCCTCCTAATTATCTTATAATACAAGACTATCTTTGGTCTGTTATACTTAAAACCTTAGGGGCACCTGGGTGGCTCAGTCGGTTAAGTGTGAGACTTTGGCTCAGGTCATGATCTCACAGTTCATGAGTTCAAGCCCTGTGTTGGGCTCTGTGCTGACAGCTCAGAGCCTGGAACCTGCTTCAGATTCTGTCTCTCAAAAATAAATAAACATCAAAAAAACAAACAAAAAAAACCTTGACAGACATCCTCTCCCCCACCAAAAATGTATATTTAAATGGGTGACTATAACATGTAGTAATCAGCTTTATTTCTTGTAGCAACATTAACTTTCATTAGAGTCTCCTACAATTACTTTTTTAAAAAGTGCATGTGTGCAAATTTAAGTTAAATCAGTCGGTAGTACTATGTAGAAGGAAAGATGAATTTTTAACTCAAAATTGACTTCCCCTTTAGGGGTGCCTGGGTGGCTCAGTCAGTTGAGCATCTGGCTTTGGCTCAGGTCATGATCTCATGGTTTGTGAGTTCGAGCCCCGCGTCAGGCTTTGTGCTGATACCTCAGAGCCTGGAATTGCTTCAGATTCTGTGTCTCCCTCTCTCTCTCTGCCCCTCCCCTGCTCATGCTCTGTCTCTCTCTGTCTCAAAAATAAACAAAACATTAAAAAAAAATTGAGCTCCCCTTTAATAGCAAACAGTTGGGGCCGCCTGGGTGGCTCAGTCGTTTTAAGTGTCTGACTTAGGCTGAGGTCTGATCTCACAGCTCCTGAGTTCAAGCCCTGTGTAGGGCTCTGTGCTGACAGCCCAGAGCCTGGAGCCTGCTTAGGATTCTGTGTCTCCCTCTCTCTCTGCCCCTCACTTGCTTGCTCAGTCACTCTTTCTCTCTCTCAAAAATAAATGAAACATTAAAAAAAATTTTAATAGCAAACAATGAGTATAGCTAATGTATAGACCTTAGCTGGCTTTTGAACATTGGCCGATATCCTGCAATTACTTGTAATGGCTATGTAACAAACCATTGTACATAAGTTCTGTAATTATTTACTAATACCTTTATTATAAACATTTAAGTGGTTTTGAAAATTTTTCACTATACCTTTAAAATTTTTTTAATATTTATTTGTTTTTGAGAGAGAGAGACAGAGTGTGAGCAGGGGGAGGGGGCAGAGAGAGAGAGACAGAGAGAGAATCTGAAGCAGACTGCAGGCTCTGAACTGTCAGTGCAGAGCCCCATGCAGGGCTTGAACCCATGAACTGCGAGATCATGACCTGAGCTGAAGTCAGATGCTTAACCAACTGAGTCACCCAGGCACCCCAATTTTTCACTATATCTGTATATAATTCTTCAAAACCACCCCTCCCCAAAAAATTCTGAGCCAGTTCTGTTAATTTCTAACTCCAAACAAATCAATGTTTGAATTTGTCATATTTACTTTAATGTTTGGCATTTTGGTGGGCGAAAAGTAGTTATTTACCTACTTTAAACTTTAATTCCCTGACTACTAGTGAAATAGAGCACCCTCATATGTTGACTTCAAGCTTCCCTTTTGGGAGAATCTTTAATAGATCCTGAAATATACTTTGGATATTTCCCTTTTGAATTGTTTTTTTCCCTAACTTGTAAGAAGAGTTCATGTGATAGGGATATTAATATCTTATTCTGTATATCTTAACTATTTTCTACCAGTCTTTCACTTTTTATTACATTTAGCCTTTCAGAAATGTTTATTTTACTTGTTTTCCTCCTCTTTAATGGTTTCTGGGTTTTAATTAGACCTTTCCATTTCAGAGTTATATATGTATTTTGTATGCTCATTTCATTTTATGATACATATTTAAATATTTTATAATATGTGATGTTAGGTGGGTGTATAACATCATTCTTCAAAATGATTAGCTGACTTTCTCACACTACTTGTTGAATAATCCTTCCTCTTTTTATTTATTTTTTAGTTTTTAATGTTTATTTTTGAGACAGAGACAGAGCATGAATGGGGGAGGGTCAGAGAGAGGGAGACACAGAATCTGAAGCAGGCTCTAGGTTCCAAGCTGTCAGCACAGAGCCTGATGTGGGCTTGAACTCACAGACTGAGATCATGACCTGAGCCGAAGTTGGATGCTCACCCGACTAAGCCACTCAGGCTCTCCTCCTTCCTCTTTTTAATTGAAATGCCCCTTGTATTCTGTATTAAGTTTCCATATATATATATATGGATCTGTTTCAAGGCTCTCTTCTACTCATTTATTGTGCCAGTACCTTAGCATTTTAATTACATTAGCTTTATTATCTGGTGGGATAAATAAATCTCTACTGAATGATATGTTGAAATTTTTGTAATTCTCACATAATATATTTTCCATATGGACTGTAGAATTGTATTAATTTTATATTAGATGTATTTAAGGATATTAAATCTTTGTCTCCAGGAACTGGACATTATTCATTTATTCTGTTCTTGTTTTATGATCCCCAATAAATTCATTTTCTTTTCTTAGAACTTTTTTCTTACTAAATTTATTCTTAAATATAATTGTAGAGTTTGAACATAACTTGAGATGTCATTGTGAATATTTTAGAGTAGATTTTAAAAGTATCATTACAGCTATTTCCTTTAGAATTGTGGTAGAATTAAGCATTTTAATTAATGTTCTGTTTAATTAATAGTTGCCAAAATTATATTTCTTCAAATATTAAAATAGGGTAAAAGCATCATACATGAACAGTTTTTTCTTTGATTTAAAGAGAATCTTTAAGATTATCAACTTTATCTATGAATGGCACACTAGTTGTTTGAATTCCAGATAAACAGAATTTGTTGAATGACTTTGTTTTTATTCTTGTCCTAAGGTTGCTACAACTATAAATATGAGACAAGGATACTACCCAACAGATGGATGTATTAAAGAAGATTCTTTTATAGAAAAACTGAAGACTAAAAAGTATGTTCTATATGCACTTATTTTAGTATTTAAATTTCATGTATTTCTGAAAGGATAATTTTAGCATCATTGGTAAAATGTCATTCTTACATCAGTGTTTCTACCCCATTGTTTATAGAGTGTTCTTTATCTGTTTTACATTTTTTTGAGTATAGTTGACATACAATATTACATCATTTTCACAACAGTGATTCAACTTCTTTATATGTTATGCTATGCTCACCACAAGTGTAGCTACCATCTGTCAGCATACAGCACTATTACAGTATCATTGATTATATTCCCTGTGCTGTTCCTTTATTCCAGTGACTTACTCATTCCATAACTGGAAGCCTGTATCTCCCATGTAGAGTGCTCTTTTATAATTTGTCTTAGCTGTTAATGGAATGGACAAACTCCTACAGAAGCAACATTAATTTGTCCTTATTTAAAGTGGTGGGGGAAAAGAATGCAAGATAAAGCTGAGATTATCATTCTAGCAAAAGTTATTGTGGTACTGGCTGAGAGTAAGATGTGGTTAAATAACTTATTTCTGTATTGATTCTTAAGTATCACGAGTATGATACAGTGGAGGACTTTGGAAAGAGATGGTTTGAGAGGTGATTGATAAAATGAAAAGTGATAACTTGGAGATTCTTTTATTTTCCTTTCTTCCATAAGACTGTGTGTGTGTGTGTGTGTGTGTGTGTGTGTGTGTGTGTGTGTGTTAGTAACGTGGAGATTTTTTTCTCAATTGGTAATGCAGAGATTTTTTAAAAACATATCCCACCCAGCTGGAAACCAGCACCTGAGTTATTTTTTATTGCACTTATTTATTTATATATGTCTTCTGTTAGTCTGTAAGCCCCTATAAGGGCATGGACCACATTTTATTGCCTTCTACATCCCTGGTGCCAAATACAGTAAACATGTAATAAATGTTGTGTTAGATGAAATACCGTGATATTTTGACACTTGCTAAATTTTTCCATGTTTCAGTCCTCTAAGTAAGTTTACTTTTATGGTTGACTATGGAATGGATCAATGTGAAAAAATAATAAAGTTTTACTTTGCAACTTTATGAGAGTTAAAGAAACTTATTATTAATTCGCTGAGACCCTACTCAGATGGTAATTATATTTTTGTATAAGTTTAACTTTTTAAAGCATATTTAATGTGATCATAAATTATGTGGGAAATAAGAGAAATACAGGAAACCCTCAAGGAATGATTTCATTTGAAACCTGTCATTTTTTTTTTTTTATTGTCAAGTTAGCTAACATACAGTGTAGTGTTGGCTTCAGGAGTAGATTCTTGTGATTCATCACTTACAACACCCAGTGCTCATCCCAACAAGTGCCCTCCTCAATGCCCATCACCCATTTTTCCCACCCACCCAACCTGTGCCCCCATCAACCCTTAGTTCTCTGTATTTAACAGTCTCTTATGGTTTGTGTCCCTCCCTGCTTGTATCTTATTTTTCCTTCCCTTCCCCTATGGTCATCTGTTAAGTTTCTCAAATTCCACTTATGAATGAATACATATGATATCCATCTTTCTATGACTGGTTTACTTCACTTAGCATAATACCCTCCAGTTCCATCCATGTAGTTGGAAATAGCAAAAATTCATCTCCGAATAGTACTCCATTGTGTGTATATACCATATCTTCTTTATCCCTTCATCAGTTGATGGGCATTGGGCTCTTTCCTTAATTTGGTTATTGTTGATAGCGCTGCTATAAACACTGGAGTGCTTGTGCCGTTTTGAATCAGCACTCCTGTATCCTCTGGATAAATTCCTAGTGGTACAATTTCTTCATCGTGGGGTAATTCTATTTTTTGTTTTTTGAGGAACCTCCACACTGTTTTCCAGTTTGCATTCCCACCAGCAGTGCAAGAGGGTTCCCCTTTCTCCACATCCTCACCAACATCTGTTGTTTCTGGAGTTGTTAATTTTAGCCACTCTGGAGTGAGGGGGTATTTAAGTGTGGTTTTGATTTGTATTTCCCTGATGATGAGCAATGTTGAGCATCTTTTCATGTGTCTTTCTGCAATCTGGATGTCTTCTTCGGAAAAATGTCTATTCATGTCTTCTGCCCATTTCTTCACTGGATGGTGTTTCAGGTGTTGAGTTTGGTAAGTTCTTTATAGGTTTTTGATACTAATCCTGTATCTGATGTGTCATTTGCAGATATCTTCTCCCATTCCATGGGTTGTCTTTTAGTTTTGCTGATTTTTTCCTTTGCTGTGCAGAAGCTTTTTATCTTGATGAGGTCCCAATACTTCATTTTTGCTTTTGTTTCCCTTGCCTCCAGAGACATGTCAAGTAAGAAGTTGGTGTAGCCGAGGTCAAAGAGGTTGCTGCCTGTTTTCTCCTCTAGGATTTTGATGGTTTCCTGTCTCACATTTAGGTCTTTCATCCATTTTGAGTTTATTTTTGTGTATGGTGTAAGAAAGTAGTCTAGTTTCATTCTTCTGCATCTTACTGTCTAGTTCTCTCAGCACCATTTGTTAAGGAGACTGTCTTTTTTCCATTGGATATATTTTCCTGCTTTGTTGAAAATTAGTTGACCATATATTAGTGGGTCCATGTCTGGGTTCTGTATTCTATTCCACTGGTCTGTGTGTCTGTTTTTATGCCAATACCATATTTCCTTGATAATTACAGTTTGTAATACAGGCTAAAGCCTGGGATTGTGATGCCTCCAGCTTGGTTTTCTGTTTCAATATTACTTTGGCTACTCGGGGTCCTTTGTGGTTCCATACAAATTTTAGGATTGTTTGTTCTAGCTCTGTGAAGAATGCTAATGTTATTTTGATAGGGACTGCATTGAATATATAGATTGATTTGGATAGTATTGACATTTTAACAATATTTGTTCTTCCAATCCATTTACATGGAATGTTTTTCCATTTCTTTGTGTCTCCTTCATTTTCCTTCATAAGCTTTCTGTAGTTTTCAGCATACATATCTTTTGCATCTTTGGTTAGGTTTATTCCTAGGTATTTTATGGTTCTTGGTGCAATTGTAAATGGAATCAATTCCTTGAATCTCTTTCTGTTGCTTCATTATTGGTGTATAGAAATGCAGTCAATTTCTGTATATTTTATATCCTGCAATTCTGCTGAATTCGTGTATCAGTTCTAGCAATTTTGGGGTGGAATCTTTCGGGTTTTCCATGTAGAGTATCATGTCATCTGGAGAGAATGAAAGTGTGATTTCTTTGCCAGTTTTGGAGGCCTTTTATTTCTTTGGGTTGTCTGATTGCTGAGGCTAGGACTACCAACACCATGTTAAACAAACACTGATGCACGTGGACATCCCTGTCGTGATCCCGATCTCAGGGGAAAAGCTCTCAGTTTTTCCCCATTGAGGATGATATTAGCTGTGGGCCTTTCGTATATGGCTTTTATGACATTAAGGTATGTTCCTTCTATCCCTACTTTCTTGAGGGTTTTTATTAAGAAAGGGATGCTGTGTTTTGTCAAATGCTTTTTCTGCATTTGTTGACAGGATCCTATGGTTCTTACCCTTTCTTCTATTAATGTGGTGTATCATGTTGATTGATTTGCAAATATTGAACCAGCCCTGTAGCCCAGGAATGAATCCCACTTGATCATGGTGAATAATTCTTTGAATATACGGTTGAATTTGATTTGCTGGTATCTTGTTGAGAAATTTTGCATCCATCTTTATCAGGGATTTTAGACTATAATTCTCCTTTTTAGTGAAGTCTTTATCTGGTTTGGGAATCAAGGTAATGCTGGCTTCATAGAATGAGTCTGGAAGCATTCCTTCTGTTTCTATTTTCGGAACAGCTTGAAAAGCGTAGGTATTAACTCTTCTTTAATGCCTGGTAGAATTCCTCTGGGAAGCCATCTGGTCCTGGACTCTTATTTGTTGGGAGATTTTTGATAACCAGTTCAATTTCTCTGCTGGTTATGGGTCTGTTCAAATTTTTTGTTTCTTCCCATTTGCATTTTGGTAATCTGTGAGTGTTTAGTAATTTTTCCATTTCTTCCAGTTTGTCTAGTTTGTTGGCATATAATTTTTCATAGTATTCTCTAAAATTCTTTGTATTTCTGTGGTATTGGTTGTGATCTCTCCTTTCATTTGTGATTTTATCTATTTGGATCCTCTCTATTTTCTTTTTGAGACGTCCGACTAGGGATTTATCAATTTTGTTTATTCTTTCAAAAAAACCAGCTCTTAGATTCATTGATCTATTCTACTGTTTTCTTGGATTTTATATTGTTTATTTCTGCTTCAATCTCTATTTCTCTTCTTCTGCTGTCTTTGAGCTTTCTTTGCTGCTGTCTTTCTAGTTCCTTTAGGTGTGAGGCTAGGTTGTGTATTTGGGACTTTTCTTGCCTCTTGAGATAGGCCTGGATTGCAATGTATTTTCCTCTTAGGACTGCCTTTGCTCCATCCCAAAGGGTTTGGACTGTCATGTTTTCATTTTCATTTGTTTCCATATATTTTTTTCATTTCTTCTTTAATTGGTTAACCCATTCATTCTTTAGTAGGGTGTTCTTTAACCTCCATGTATTTGGAGGCTTTCCAAATTTTTTCTTGCGGTTGATTTCAATTTTTTTAGCGTTTGTGATCTGAAAATATGCATGGTGTGATCTCAATCCTTTTATATTGGTTGGGGGCTGTTTTGTGACCCAGTATATGATCTGTTTTAGATAATGTTTCATGTACATTCAAGAAGAATGTGTATTCTGCTGCTTTTGGATGAAAGTTCTGAATACATCTGTTAAGTACGTTTGGTCTAATGTGTCATTCAGAGCCTTACAGTTTCCTTACTGATTTTCTGTCTGAATAATCTACCCATTGTTGTAAGTGGAGTATTGAAGTCCCCTACAATCACAGTATTACTATCTATACATTTATTTATGTTTGTGATTAATTGATATATATATATGGATGCTTCCACGTTGGGGGTACAAGCATTTACATTTGTTAGCTTTTCTTGATAGATAGACCTCTTAATTATGATGTAATGCCCTTCTTCATTTCTTGTTACGGTCTTTGTTTTAAAATCTAGTTTGTCTGATATAAATATGGCTACTTTGGCTTTCTTTTGCCATCCAGAGCATGATAGATGGTTCTCCATGCCCTCACTTTCAATCTGCAGATGTCCTCAGGTCTAAAATGAGTCTCTTGTAGGCAGCATGTAGATTGATCTTCTTTTTTTCCTTTTTTTTTTTTTTAAATCCATTCTGATACCCTGTGTCTTTTGATTGAGGCATTTAGTCCATTTACATTCTGAGTTATTATTGAAAGATATGAACTTAGTGCCACTGTGTTATCCCTAGATTTCGTGCTTGTGTGATGTCTCTGGTCCTTCATAGTCTTTGCTGCTTTCCACTCATATAGTCCCCCTTAGGATCTCCTGCAGGGCTGGTTTAACGGTCATGAACTCCTTCAGTTTTTGTTTGTCTGGGAAAGCCTTTATCTTTCCTTCTATTCTGAATGACAGGCTTGCTGGATAAAGGATTCTTGGCTGCATATTTTTCCTGTTCAGCACATTGAAAATTTCGTGACACTCCCTTCTGGCCTGCCAAGGTTCAGTGGACAGGTCTGCTACTACCCTTATGTGTCTACCCTTGTAGGTTGAGGCCCATTTGTCCCTAGCTGCTTTCAGAATTCTCTCTTTATCTTTGTATTTTGCCAGTTTCACTATATGTCATGGTGTTGACCTGTTTTTGTTGATTTTGAAGGGAGTTCTTTGTGCTTCTTGGACTTGGCTGTCCGCTTCCTTCCCCAGATTAGGGAAGTTCTCAGCTATAATTTGTTCAAATAAATCTTCTGCCCCTTTCTCTCTCTAATCTTCTTCTGGAACTCCTATGATACAGATATTTTGTTTCATTGAATCACTTAGGTCTCTAATTCTCCCACATTGTCTAGTAATTTTCTTTCCCTCTTTTTTTGAGATTTATCATTTTACATAATTTTATCTATTTTGCCTACTCTCCCCTCTTCTTTTTCCATCTTCCCTGTCACTGCATCTGTTTTATTTTGCATCTCATTTATAGCATTTCTTAATTCATCATGACTATTTCTTAGGTCTTTGATCTCTGCAGCAATAGATTCTCTGCTGTCTTCTATGCTTTTTTTCAAGCCCAGCTATTAGTCTTATGACTGTTATTCTAAATTCCTGTTCATATATATTGTTTATATCTGTTTTGAGCAATTCTGGCTGTCATTTCTTCCTGGTATTTCTTTTGAGGAGAATTCTTCCATTTCATCATTTTGGCTAGGTTTGTGTCTTTTACATGTTTTAATAGCTTGTTATGTGTCCTGTAACTGTGAGAACTGCTATATAAAAAGGGGTCATACACTATCCAGGGCCTGGCCTTCAGGAGGTGTTTTTAGAGTGTGTTGGTGCACTCTGTTATTGTGTATTTGGCTGCTCTACTCCACTGATCAGTCTTCTACAAAGCTCCTCCTTACTCATTGTGGTGGATTGTTTAGACCTTCTGACAGGTGTGCTTTGATTTTTCGTTGAAGTAACCCTGAAAGAAAGGGAAGGGGACCTGATCCCATAGAAAGAGAAAAATGAAAGGGGAAAAAGAAAAAAAAAAAAAAACAAGCAGAGAATCAGAGAAACTATAAGTCTTAATCCAGAGAAAGAGAAAGGAAAATAAAGAAGGAGATCTAGAAAAGGTGTAAAAAGAATAAAAATGCCTGATTACACAAAGAAACAAAGCAGAGAAAGAACAAGAAGAAAATGTATATATATACATTAAGAATTGACCAAAAATCAAATTTGCAAGTATGAACCTGATTCTAAAGGAAAAAAAAGAAGAGAATATAAAGAAAAAGAAGAGAGAAGAGAAGGAAAGGAAGAGAAGAGGGAAAAAAAAAAGAGCAACAGACTAACATACAAAATCACAGGACAGGGGCATCTGGGTGTCTGTCAGTTAAGCGTCCAACTTTGGCTCAGGTCATGATCTCATGGCTCCTGAGTTCGAACCCTGCATCAGGCTCTGTGCTAACAGCTTGGAGCCTGGAGCCTGCTTCAGATTCTGTGTCTCCCTCTCTCTCTGCCCCTCTCCCACTCGTGCTCTGCCTCTCTCTCAAAAATAAACATTAAAAAATTAAAACTCAGGACATTTGTCTGTTGGTATCTGGGACCAGTGACTGTGCTGGTCTGGAGGAGAGGTCAGCTACCTGCTTTGGGTCAGTCTCGCTCCAGTAGATAAGCAGTTGCCAGGCACGGAGGGGTGGGGTTTAGTGTAAGCGGATCCTGCTCCATGGGGGCCACTGTCCTGTTCCCTGAAGCCCCACTGTGTTGATGATGGGGAGAAAAATGGTGACACCCCAGTCTCTCCTCCCCAGACCAGGAGTCTCAAACTATGCTGTTAAGGCAGCCCTTACAGGGTAGCATGGGCGGTGGGCTTGTCCTGCTCCACAGTTGTCCCACGCCTCCTAGGTGGTTAGCTTGGATTCAAAACCTGATGTCTTAAAGGATCCCATACCATGAAGACCCAGTTCTGGGGTAGCGCTGCTCTGCCCTGCCAATATGGCTAGCACCTGCAGGATCTTTTGTCCTTGGAGGAGCAATATACCCTCTTTCCACAGCACTCAAGGGAGGGGACTGTTCTCTCCCAATGCACCCCTGAGATTGCTACCAGGCCGGAGGACCGGCTTCTCTCCCCACTAGCACATGCACATGGTCTGGAGAGTCATGCACTTTTGAAATCTCCATTCTTCAGCTCCTAAGGCTGTTTGCAGAGTAGAGGCTGGTACTCTCCGTGTTTCTCATTCCCCAGTCCATGGTCCGGAGAGGTTTTTTTCTTGTCCTAACACAAAACCACAATCCATAGCTTCTCTTTCTCTCCCTTTCATCTCTGTACATAAAGGGATCCCTCTCCTCCATTGCCATGCTGTTTTATGTCCCCCAATTTGCATACACACACCTCTGTCCCACCAAACTATCTCCTTCCACCTGTGGAGATTTTTCTGTCATTCCCCAGATAGATTTCCTGTGTGTTCCAAGTGTTCTGACCTCAATACAGCTGTGTTTGAGGGAGGAGGGAAACCTGGTCCCCCTACTTCTATACCATCTTAACTTCTTAAAACGTTTCCGTTTTGTTAATGGCACTGAGCATCTGTAAATCACTCTAGTTCCTCATATCCCATTCAGTTTGTCTCCTGTAAACCCTAACTTCCACAGTATCTTCCATATTCATAATTTATCTTTCATTTCTACTTAGTCTTTTTTGACTACCTTCTTAGTACATCCATACTTTTCCCTGCTCCATGCTTCTTCATTACCTATCTAAATAAAATCCAAAATTTTTTAGACTTAGCATTCATAGTCTTTCACATGACGGCTGCAGCTTCTCTGTCTGGACTTAAATGGGTACTTCAACAGAAACCAAAAGAATAGTTATCTCTGTAGGTAGTAAACCACTTAGCTAAAGTCTGGCAGCTGGGTATTGAGAGAACCAGTGGAACTCTGGCTTACTGAGTACCAACCCCTATATTTGTATTCCTCCAGGCATTTCCTCCAAATGCTCTGTGTGAAATGATTAGAATCAATCTTTAGGAATCTTTTTGGTTCCTTGTGACTCAATGGCCTCAACAAATTTGAGTCCCTGCAGAGGTCCAGCAGATGACTCACTAGGTGAGGTAGACAGAGTTTAAACAATGAGTGGTATGAATTGTGGCAGACAAAGAAGGCCCCTCCAAAGGAGGTAGCCCATTCTCAGCTCCAGTCAATTACTTCTGTGTGTTAAGACAAATCCAGTGTTTCCAAATCTTCCTTTTTATTCCCCCAAGAGAAGATAGACATCTAGACTTCTATGTGAAATTTTCTGACTTTTTAAAACTTATATAAGTTAAATATGATTATGTGTTTGTCTAGATATATATCATATGTTGTAGTATGGTTATAAAGTGAAATTTCACTTTCGGAAGTAGATGAATCCATTTTAAGTACCCAAATTTTTTCCAAATTACTGTTTTTTTTTTTAAATTCTCCATACCAAGTATACTTACGTTAGAACCTCCTATTCCCTAAATTCAGTAGATTGTGGTTTAAAATAATTGTTTATTTTTAAATAAACATCCCTTGATACATAATGTATTTCCTTCCTGATTTATCTTTAATATCTTGAAACAGGAATTGAAAAATGGACTTCTTGGGGCTAATGTATTCACATGTTTTCAAGAACATGAATACTCACTTTTCAAAGTAATTAATGTTTAAAATTTGTCTATTTTTTCTGTAAAGGTAACATATTTAAACAACATAATTTCTTCCGTAAACTATCTTAGGCTTATGACTAAGTAAACACCTAAGAGTTTACTATATGTGAGCCAATATAGGGAGATACAAAAATAAAATAGGCAAAAAGTCTAGCATGTGTAGATAAGAAACTGAACTTTTTCTTTTCACATTAACTTACCTGGTAAACTCATTACCTTTTTGTAAATTATCCAGGCCTGTGAGTACATTCTATTAATAGCTGGCATTTGTATATAAGTAATTGAGCTTAAAGGCAGTTCAGTGGCTATCAACACCTCTACCAAAAAATAATCAGGTAAGGAGAGGTAACTAGGAGATTAAAGCACAATTTATACTATAAGCTCTTATTTTTAGGGATTTGCTAAGAAGTTGAATTCTTGGTTAAAATTAAGTTTTATATGAAAGCCTGTTTAGCCATCGCTTCTCTCTTTGCTTATTATAAATGACTGAGAACGAACAGTACATGTTAGTATTATGTAATACATCATATGAATTATTTTTGATGGACAGTAAAAATGAGAATAGAAGGTTAAAACTGTTATATTAATGTGGCATCTGAAATAATGTACTTGACATTTTTCAGGATAAGGAATTGTTCTCAGGACTTTAAAAAGACTACTGATCAGCTAACTATTGGTTTGGAACATTCAACATCCACACACAAGACTATTTTGAACTCCTCAACTGTAATGGCGGTATGAAAAAAATGTTACTTATGAAGTAAGATGAAACCAAACATTTTTACTTTGTGTCTGGTAGCTTAATTATTGTCTCTTCTCAAGGTTCCTATAATTATACATTTTTTGGAAGCATGAAGGTACGCGATAAACCTATACTCCTTACTTGAATCTCTTGTTTTATTATAATTATACTTGAACATTCTTATTTCTTCCTAAGGCAGCCCATTCTCCTTTGACCAACTCTGTAGTGTTCTTGACATTTAACCATATGTAGGTTCCCTTTGAACCTAGTTATTGAATCCTATTACATGAAACTTGTATAAAGTACAGGTTTTAAATTCTAAAGGTGATTTTTCAAATCATTTTAATGGCAGCTAAAAGGCCTAACATTTGCTATGATGATGATGGTGATGTTATTGTTGGAAGATTGAATCTTACCTGTTACTGTAAAATAATGTATTGTTTTAGTTTAAGATTAGAAATAGAATAAATTCCAAAATACTATTATTAAAGAGAACTTTGGTGATCTGGGGAATGGAGAAAGCACTTAATTTTGCTATCTTTTACTTCAAGTTTAAATTTTAACATAGCCAAATTATACTCTTCTTTAAAAACTTAATTTTTACATGTGTGTGCATTTATTGCCATGATAATTTTTTCAAAATAGTTTTAAGTTGCAGAATATTCCATTTTTTTAAAAAAGGTCTCTAAAAAAATCTGGAATACCATAATCAAAACTCTAAAATGCTAATGGTTTTGAATTTCTGGGTAAGTAGGATTGAAAGTGTTGTTTTTATTATGTTCAGACTTCTATGGTGGTCTGTTGCTTTTGTAACCAAAATTGTAGCTTGATGTTTTTGCAACTAATACAGTGTATCTAAGCATCTATTTTTATATTTGTATGTGGTCCCCCTTCCCCTTCTTAGGAAAGTAAAACTGCAGAAGAAGAAATTGAGGAAGCGTTGAAGATAGCGGGCTATAATTTTGAACAATTAAGTGTTGCTGTAAAAGTAAGCATTTTGAATGATTAAAGCCTATTGTGAATTAAGGCATGTTCTTTAAATGTGTTCATTTGGATTTTTTTTTTTACTGAAGTTGGAGCTTAGCACTGAGTTATTGAACAGGATAATCTAATGGTAGAGAAACACACAAAAGAATGGAAAACTCCCATGGCCTGCTGAGATTGGTCTCTTAGCATTGTTGTGCTAGCAGCCTACTGAAACTGGAGCACTATTAAGGAACCACGATTCTTTCTTGCTGTGAGCTGAAGTTTGTCTTGAAAATATCGTAGATCATCTTTCTAACATTGCGCATTACTCAGCTGAATACCCTAACACAAAGTCTTGTTCTCTTTCCTTCCTTACTCCATCCCCCAAAAGAGAGACTCACTTGGTGACAAAAGCAAACTCCTAAGCACCTAATAACAACAAATTAACAACCAAGGCAATCAAAAGAGTATAGCAGATATGGGAGTTAAGACCTCAACATATGAATTTGGGAGGGGGACAGACAAAATTCACCCTATAACAGCCTGCCCTCTGAAACCCATCTCCAGATTCATGTCCTTTTCACATGCAAAATACATTCACCCCATCCCTTCAGCATCAAGTCTAAGACCAGAATCTAATCTAAATATCTTCTAAATCAGGTATGGCTGGGGTTCAGGGTATGATTCAGTTTTTCCAACATTGGTTGTACAGGTATGGGATTGCTGTTCCTATTCTAAAAGGGAGAAATTGGAAGGAAAAAAAATGGGTCATACATCTTAAGCAAGAATTCTTTGTCAAAAAGTGCAAAGATGTGGAATAGTTAACATTTTAACTCAAGTATGTTTTTTTAATATTACATATTAAGGTTCTTTCATTTAAGGAATCCTTCCAGAGACAAATTCAGCTATCCAGAGTGGCTCTTCCTGTAATGATAAAAAGGAATAAGAAATTTAGAAAACAGTGGATTTTCTAGGCCTTTTTGCCAGTTTATTGGTACTCAGTGTCAACAAAGGTGTGATCTTGATGACAAGTAACAGGATTTAAAGTTGGAACCTTATAACTTATTCCATTTTTATCACCTAATCTCCTTTGTGTTGTTATTTTGAAAGGTCTAATAAGTACCTGTTACTTTTAAAATTATTTAAACAGTACAATTTCTATAAAATAAAAATACCAAATTAGGTCTTTGTATTATGTTCTTTCCAGATGCTTGAACACATACACAGTGAAACAAAAGCAGAGTCAGTCAGTCTTATAGAGGTTCTGGAGAAACAGTTTGATCAACTTTTTACTTCTCTTGATTCCAGGTAATAACTTAAAAATATAGATTCAGGGTGCCTGGGTGGCTCAAGTGTCCATCTCTTGATTTCAGCTGAGATCATGATCTCACAGTTCCTAGATTTGAGCCCTGTATCAGGCTCTATGCTGACAGTGCAGGGCCTGCTTGGGATTCCCTCTCTGCCCCTCCCTTGAGCATGCTAGGTCTCTGTCTCTCTCAAAATAAATAACTAAAACTTAAAAAAAAAATAGAAACTCAATGAAACTGAAGTTTTTAACGTTAGCTTGTCACTTTATTTCTTTGTATAAATTGAAGTAATGAGTAACTTTTGAATGAGTTTGGAAGGTAATGGGTGATTCCTACAGGTTGATGTCTACAACTTGAAAACAACAATTTGTACATTTTAAAAACTTTTTGGCTATTTGCCATCTGGTTCTAAAGCTAACTTAAATAAGCTTCTTTCTTAAAGCAGCACAGAAAATTATTTTAAAAATCTGAATCCATGTTGCAGAATTTTGCTTACTTGAAAAATGCAAACATGCTTTTTCTTCTACATCATTCCATCATTTTTCATTGTTTATTTGCATCAGAGAAAGTAATAACTAACACTCATTTCTAGACATACCACACAGTTACATATCCATCACTTTAAAAACTCTGATATACATGATCTTTAATTTTTTTCTTTCAAAATTTTATTTAAATTCAAGTTAGTTATCATATAATGTAGTTTTGGTTTCAGAAGTGGAATTTAGTGATTCTTCACCCAGTGCTCATCCCAAGTGCTCTCCTTAATGCCTATTACCCATTTAGCCCATACCCCCTACCTCCAGCAACCTTCAGTTTGTTCTCTATAGTTAAGTCTTATTTGCCTCCATCTATTTTTATCTTATTTTTCCTTCCCTTCCCCTATGTTCATCTGTTTCTTAACAAAATCATATGGTGAAATCATATGGTATTTGTCTTTCTGTGACTTATTTCACTTAGCATAATACACTCTAGCTCCATCCATGTTGTTGCAAATGGCAAGATTTCATTCTTTTTGATGCCTAATATTCCATGTATGTGTATACACACACACACACACACACACACACACACACACACATATATAGGGTGGTATTGTATACATATATATGCACCCATGTGTATGTATACATGTGTGTGTATATATATATATGTAGTATATGTATATATATGTATACATAATACATTTTCTTTATTCATTAGTTGATGGACATTTGGGCTCTTTCTGTAATTTGGCTATTGTTGAAGTGCTGCTATAAATATTGGAGTTCATGTGCCCCTTCAAATTGGAAAGATAAAGACAGAACTACCCTTGGGGCGCCTGGATGGCGCAGTCGGTTAAGCGTCTGACTTCAGCCAGGTCACGATCTCGCGGTCCGTGAGTTCGAGCCCTGCGTCAGGCTCTGGGCTGATGGCTCAGAGCCTGGAGCCTGTTTCAGATTCTGTGTCTCCCTCTCTCTCTGCCCCTCCCCCGTTCATGCTCTGTCTCTCTCTGTCCCAAAAATAAATAAATGTTGAAAAAAAAAATTAAAAAAAAAAAGAACTACCCTATGACTCAGCAATTGCACTCCTAAGTATTTATCCAAAGGATACAAAAATACATCTTTAATAATTTTTAATCACATTTTTCTTTTTTTTAAATTTTTTAAAATGTTCATTTATTCATTTTGAGAGTGAAAGCATGAACAGGGGAGGGGCAGAGAGAGAGAGAGAGAGAGAGAGAGAGAGAGAGAGAGAGAGAATCCCAAGCAGGCTTCACCCTGTGAGAGCAGAGCCCAACATGGGGCTTGATCCCACAAACAGAGATCACCACCTGAGCCGAGATCATGACCTGAACCAAAATCAAGAGTCAGATGCTTAAACAACTGAGCCACCCAGGTGCCTCCAATTTTTTAATCACATTTTTCAATTCAAGAAATAGGATCATAAAAGTTTCAACATGCCAAAAGTAATATAATTAGTAACAGTATTTGTCCATGGACTCTTAGTGCTTTTTTCTTCTTTTTAATCCCATTAGGATGCCTCGGACATAGTCTTCAATATACTATGAATGAAATAGGTTGATTTCTTTAGTCTTCCATATTGGTATTATCGATATCACATGTGGTCGTTAATTATAACATTTAAGTTACAAGTCATGTGCATGCATTTTAAACTTTTTTATGGTGCAAAATATACATAACAGGGGCGCCTGGGTGGCGCAGTCGGTTAAGCGTCCGACTTCAGCCAGGTCACGATCTCGCGGTCCGTGAGTTCGAGCCCCGCGTCGGGCTCTGGGCTGATGGCTCAGAGCCAGGAGCCTGTTTCCGATTCTGTGTCTCCCTCTCTCTCTGCCCCTCGCCCGTTCATGCTCTGTCTCTCTCTGTCCCAAAAATAAATAAACGTTGAAAAAAAATATATACATAACAAAGATTACCTTGTTAGTCATTTTTTAATGTCCAGTTTAGTGCCATATGATAATTTTATGTTTAACTTTTTGAGGAAACACCAAAGTTTTCCACTGTAGCTATACATTTTACATTCCCACCAGTAGTACATGGGGTTCCAGTTTCCTCACCAACAATGTTATTTTCTGGGTTTTTTTAATAATCATATCCTAATGAATATTAAACACTAATCTTGTGGGTTTTTTGCATTTTCCTCATGACTGGTTGGTTATGTTGAGTATTTTTTCATGTGTGTATTTATTCCTCATTTATATATCTTTTTTGAAGAAAAGTCTATTCAGGTCCTCTTTTTGGACTGGATTATTTATTTTGTTGTTGGGTTGTTGGGTTGTAGAAGTTCTTTATACATTAATGATATTAATCCTGTACCAGATCTGTCGTTTTCAGAGACTTTTTTCCCATTCTGTGGATTGCCTTTTCACTCTTTGCCTTTTCATGAAAGTTATTGATGAAGTTCTATTTATTTTTTTCTTTTGTTGCCTGTGCTTTTGGTGTCCTATCTAAGAAATCATCACTGAATCTAATGTTACGAAGCTTTTGCCCTATGTTTTCTTCTAAGAATTTTACAGTTTTAGCTGTTACACTTAGTCTTTGATTGATTTCGAGTGAACTTTTGTGTATGGTATGAGAGAAGGGTCCAATTTCATTCTTTTCCATGTGAATGTCTTTTCTCAGCACCATTTGTTGAAAAGATGGTTTTTTCTCTGTTGAATGTCTTGGCATGCTTGTCAGTACTCAGTTAACCATATCTTGTGAGGGTTTATTTCTGGGATCTCTGTTCCATCAGTCTGTCTGTTCTTATGCCAGTAGCACACTTTTTTGATTACCATAGCTTTGTAGCAAGTTTTGAAATCGGGTTGTGTGAGTTCTCCAACTTTGTTCTTTTTCAAAACTGTTTTGGCAATTTGTGGTCCCTTGAGATTCCGTATGACTTTTTTAGGGTGGGTTTTTCTGTTCTGCCTGAAACATCACTGAGATTTTGATAGAGACTGCATTGCATTGTAGATTGCTTTGGGTGGTATTGTCAACAATATTAGGTCTTCCAATCCATGAATGTGGGATGTCTTTCCTCTTATTTTTGTCTTCTTTCATTTCTTTCAGTAATCTGGCATAGTGTGTAAGTGTACAGACTGTTCCCTCCTTGTCTGTTTATTCCTAACTATATTCTTTTGTGTTTTGTGTTAAAGGAATTGTTTTCTTAATTTCCTTGTCAGACTGTTAATGTATAGAAATGTGTCTAGTTTTTGTGTGTTGATTTTGTAGCCTACATCTTTGCTAAATTCATTTATCAGCCCTGCTAGTATATTTATGGCCTCTTTAGGGTTTTGTACATACAAAATCATGTCATGTGCAAAAATAGATAATTTAAACTTCTTTTCAATTTGGGTGTCTTTTATTTATTTTTTGCCTAATGCTTGCTAGAACGTAACAATAATATGTTAAATAGCATTGGCCAAAACACATCCTGATCTTGCTTCTGATCTTAGTGAAGAACTGACAGCTTTTTCTCAAACTAGTGTAATGTTAGCTGTGGGTTTTTCACATATAGCCTTTACGTTGATGTAATCTCCCTCAATTCCTGTTTCTTTTAGTGTTTTTATAATGAAAGGGTGTTGAAATATGTCATCCTTTTTCTAAATTTTTTAACGTTTATTTATTATCAAGAGACAGAGAGAGACAGAGCTTGAGCATGGGAGGGACAGAGAGAGGGGGAGACACAGAATCCGAAGCAGGCTCCAGGCTCTGAGCTGTCAGCACAGAGCCTGACGCAGGTCTCGAACTCACAAACCGCGAGATCATGGCCTGAGCTGAAGTTGGACGTTTAACCGACTGAGCCCCCCAGGTGTCCCTATGTCATCCTTTTTCTGCATCGATTGAGGGGATCATGTAGGGATTTTCACTTCTTTCTGCTGTGGTATTAATGTTGTGGTATTAACGTTCGTTGATTTTCATGTGTTGAATCATCTGTGCAATGTAGGAATAAATCCCACTTGGTCATGATGTATTCTCCTTTTAATATGCTGCTGAATTCAATTTGCTAATATTTTGTTGAGGATTTTGCATATAATAATCATAATCATATTTGTAGTTTTCTTGTAGTGTCTGCATATGGCTTTGATAATGCTGGCCTCTTAGAATAAGTTAGAAAGTGTTCCCAGCCCTTCAATTTTTTTGGAAGGGTTTGAGGAGGATTGTTGTTAATTCTTTAAATTTTTCGTAGAATTCACCAATGCAGCCATCTGGCCCAGGGCTTTTCTTTGATAGCTCGTGGGTTGGAGCCCTGTGTCAGGTTCTGTGCTGACAGCTCAGAGCCTGGAGCCTGCTTCCGATTTCTGTGTCTTCCTCTGTCTCTGTTCCTCCTCCCACTCATGCTCTTTCTCTTTCAAAAATAAATAAACATTTAAAAAAATAAAAAAAATAAAATCTTATTGTATATTTATGTGTTATGTGTGTGTTGATGGAAATTTTAAAATGTGAAGGCACATCACTTTTGAGAAATGAATACAAATGGGTCTTTGAAATGGCACAAGTGATTACAAGATAGGATTTCTCTTTTAGGTAGAATCATCTTGGGTCTGTCTTCTGTAATTCTGTGACATGACAATTATATCCTGCTTTTTCTGTAGTTACTCATACATAGTTTTCAATTGTAATATATTTCAGTTGAATTGAATGCCTCATTTACCATGTTCATAAACTAGTGAAATTACCCTTTTGTTACTACTCATGTACTATAGACTTACTTTCATGTGCATATTTATAAAATACTGTAAAATAATTTTGGGATCTTATATGAAGGAAAAAGAACCTGTGTGAAGAAGTAGTAAGAAATACAGATGATTATCTGTCAAATGTAATAATGGCTAAAAGCTACATGGAAGAGAAAAAAAATGATTTGGCTGCAGCTATGAAGATAGCAAGAGAGTTAAAATCAGCACCTTCTTTAAGGACTTATTGTGACCTGAATCAGGTGATTTTAATAGATCATAATATAAATTATTTCTGAAGTGTATTATTTTACATGCTTTGGAATATACTATTTAAGACTTAAGAAGAATATATTTTTAGATTATCCTAATTTATTTGGCCTCAATTCTTAGTTTGAATTCTAAGACAAACATTAATTTATTTAGCCTTTTGTTATTTACCAGTTAGGGAAATGGTTCAGTAAGGTCTTTATAACACACAATCCGAAAGCAAGTAGGGTGACATTGAGTTGAAAATTGATGTTCCTAAGACATTTGAATAAAAAATGAGGATATATAAGGGCAGCAAACTTAATGGGACTTGTTTTTCTTTTCATGATATGAATTTAGATATGTCTGTCAGCTCGTAAAAACTTAATTCAAAAGACGCCTGGTGGCAGTTGAGCGTCTGACTCTTGATTTGGGCTCAGGTCATGATCCCAGGGTCACAGGCTCAAGCCCTGCATTGGGCTCTGTGCTGAGCATGGAGTCTGTCTCTCTGTCTCTCAAAAAAAAAAAAAAAAAGTCTCTCTCTCTCCCCCCCCCCCCCTTCTCCCTCATTCATGCTCTGCTTGCTTTCTCTCTCTCTAAAATAAAATTTAACTTAAAGATCTCATTCAGGGTTTTTCCCCCTTCTTCCTGCCTCTCCGAATATGCAGGTCAAGAGACAGGGTGTGTCCAGTATGTCCTGTCATCTATCCAGGTGCCTAGGGAGCATAGTTGGGCAAAAATAAAAACATGTTTCTGATGAGATTGTTTGACAAGACAGGGTTAACCATTGATCTTTTTTTTCTGAGTTCTACCTTGCTCTCTTTGGATATAGATCCTACTCTATTGTCTTTGAATCCTCATGGTCTCATTTCCCACAGATAAGCATGTGTTTGGGAAGAACTGAGGTATAAAATAGAAGCCATTGGTTTTTCTGCCTTCAAAGTCTATAAGTGAAGGGTGAAGAGTTTGCCACCATCTTACTTGGTCAGGCCTCTCTCCAGTTGTATTACACATGAGGCATTAGGAGGTGTAAAAAAGTGATAAGATTTGGTCTTCTCCCTAGTTAGATTCATTAAGAAGATGAGGCAAAAAAGACATTTGAGGATAGCAGTGCAAGTGCAGAGTGAATCTGATCAGAATTTTCTGTGATTACATAACTATATTCTATTTGTTAACTACTGTCTTTTGTTGTTATCTGTTATTTATATCTCTAAAAGATTTTAAATTTCGTTAGGGAAAAAATTCATAAACACTTGATTTGCTCTCATTGGATGCCTAAAATCAAACCTTGAACACATTAATTAGTAAAACACTTATTAAAGGATATAGTTTTAATTCTAAAATCTTAATTTGTTTTAGCAATAATTATTTTTTTTAAATTTCACATCTGAGTAACACTTCTCTTCTGATTCTAGATTATCCGTACTTTGAAATTAACATTTGAGAGTGAATTGTTACAAGTTAGCACTCTAAAACTAAGGAATTCTCCCAGGTAAGAAGTTATAACTCAGGAGAACATAACAATTAAGTATAAAATGTATTAGAGCCTAGATTTATTAAATAGCAAGCAATTATAAATTGAAATTTGGGTCACAAATGTTTCCCAAATTAACAACCATATAATGTAATAGTAACTTACACATTAGAAAAAAATTGTTATATGATATTTGTCTTTCTCTGACTAATTTCGCTGAGCATAATACTCATATGAGGACTTTAAGACACAGAACAGATGAACACAAGGGAAAGGAAGCAAAAATAATATAAAAACAGGGAGGGGAACAAAACAGACTCTTAAATATGGAGAACAAACAGGGTTACTGGAGGGCTTGTGGGAGGGGAGATGGGCTAAATGGGTAAAGGACATTAAGGAATCTACTCCTGAAATCATTGTTGCACTATATGCTAACTAACTTAGATATAAATTTTAAAAATTAAATATAAAAAAAGGAAAAAGAAAAAAATTGTTGTCTTTTAGGGTTTTTAATGTCAGCCACTGACTTTTAAAGAAAGTAACAAATTTGTATTAGAGCATTTAAAAATGTTCTGTCTTGATACCATATGGTTTCACTCTTATGTGGATCCTGAGAAACTTAACAGGAACCCATGGGGG